GGGTCTTGGGGGGAAAAAATCTATTTTTGGAAGCTGGTTTTGGATGTCTGTAACTAGTGCTAGCACCAATTTTTAACAAAAGATTTTAGTCAACAATTATGAGAAGGACATTTAAATGCCTTCTGGGCTCTTGTGACTTTTCCATTACTTAAAAAGCTATATTTTGGTCATAAATAAACTATTGCAATAATTATATCCATGTTGCTTTTTGTTTATTTAAAAACATTTCCTTTGAAATCATTAGTTCAATAGCTGAAACTAAGCCTTCTTTTTTAAATACATTTCTCTATAAAATGGCAGCATCTTCCCTCTCACTCTTCTCCCTTTCCACTCCTCTTTGTTATCTGAACCTAATTACAATTTTCCACAGGATTAGATCCAGCTAATTACATCCTCATTATAAACTATTTCTGCCAAAGGAGAAATTTTGACATGGGATCAGAATAAATATTCCCATCATTTTTTAATGAATATTTGAAAAAGAGTATAGTCCAGACATACTTCAAAGAACCAAAGTTACCCAAGTATAAGATACCAATGTCATGTTGGTTTCCTGTTAAATATGAGTAGTACTTCATTTATTTAAATGTCGTAGACACACACATAAACATAAGCAGCCATTTAAGCAGAAATACATATATCTTGATACTAACAATTTTCATATAGGATCTTAGGAGGAGACCACGAACAAAATAATATTGGTGTCATCTCGAGATTACGAATTTTCTCTCCTTCTCTCTCTCTTCCCCATTAATACTTTAGATCAATATATACGCACATACACACTTGTAGGAATCCAATCAGGAAACAGTACAAATATATCCTGATCCTGCATTCCCAATTGCTTTTACTTGAAATATCAATTTCTCCCACCCATAAATGCAACATTCAGACAAGGAACCTATGGTTTTAATCAAGGCCAAAACAGGGGATAAAACTTTAGATTCCTCTTCTACTAGAATCTGTCATCCTTTTCTACTAGAATCATATTAATGCTTCCCAATGCTTGCTTGGAAGTAAACAAAAAGAAATGTCTAATTCCTCACCTGTAGTCAGATATCTACAAAAGGTAGCTGAATCTGAACTTGAGTGACTAAAAAGGTGGGTAGTATCAGTAAGAAGGTAAAACGATGGATGGTACCTTTATTACTATTATTAAGATAGAATTGCAAGCCATATGCAAGAGGAAAATAAATGTGTAAACTAATTTGTATTTAATCACAGGAACCTTCTCATGTTACATTAAAAGCATTTTGTGAACAGATGTCACTATTGTTAGCTTTCTCATAAATGAAAGATAATTAGTAAGACAGATACCTGAACTCGATATATTAATTTAGAATAAAAGGGGGAGTCTTGTACTAATGCTGAGTAAATATGTGATAATTAAGTATGCATATTTATGAAGCCATAAAATTACACACTGTGTAACCCTATGCATAGATACTTCTGACTATCATGTAAGTGTTAAAATCTATTTCTGTTAATCTGTAATAAACTAGTGAAAAATATTTTCTATCTCTTAGTATTCAGAAATAACATTTAGAACTTGAAAAGCATAAAAATAACAGTGGTAATTCAAACAATTATCAAAAATGTGCAGTGATATTAATAATGTAACTATATTTAAGTCTGTTTGAAACTTGTTTAAAAGGGAACAAGATTTAACTCTGATTCTATGAAATCTATATTTCCTGTAGTACACAAATGATATTGCAAAACATGCCTGGAACAGGCTTACATTGTTGCTTTATTACTTTTAAACCATATAGTAATCATACAAGAGAACCAGAGAAACTGATTGTGCACATTCAGAAGAAAATGTGTGCTGTACCCAACAATAAAAGAAAAATCTAAAGGGGCTCAGGATACCCCTATATTAAGACCTGGGAGAATACCCAGATTTTCAGGAATTTTCAGAACTTCAATCAATGTAAGCCATATAGATTCCTGAAGGGATACTATTGCAGAAGGCTGGTACCATGACAGAGAATTTATGCTTCCTAAGTCTCTATAGATGACATTGTTTAATCAAGGGAATTTAGACCATACCTATTCTGACCAATCTTACCAGACAGGCAAAAACAATAAAAAAATGGCACTCTCACAAATAACCTATGCTATGATGGGCTTTATAAGGGATAACCAGCCACCTGAATTGTATCCAGAAGCTCACTAGCAGCCAGGACAAACTCATGGAGCTACAATATCATTTTAGCATATTTCAACATACCAGACACTTCATAAGCCACTGTCTTCTGGATCGGCTGTAGCTACTAAACAGTCTTCAGGGGCAGCATTAAAACAAGTTTAGAAACACTGCCAAATTATTTTCAACTATCTTGAAAGTCAGATAGGATCTTCCTTACCAGTTAGATCAGACAGGAAATACAGCCAGATAATCTAATTCTATTTTATTGTAAAACTACATAAATAGAAACCTGAAAGTCTGAAAGAACAATTCTCCCACTCCCATCTTTAAAGCCCAATAACTTAGGAAGGGGCCCTCCTTCACTATCCCTCTTATCTGACCATTTCCTCCATTCACTATCCCTCTTATCTGACCATGTCCTAGGCGTCGGTAGCTGTTTGCCTGATCTCCTAACATCATTTCCACATTACAAGTAGCATCAACACTACAAAGTGGTCCAGATTAAGAAACCAATGCCATATATGTCAGGACCACTTCCATTATTATAGCTATAGTGAAGTTCCGCCTGAGCCATGAAAGCCAGTTGGGTCACTCTCCCTCATCCCAAACCACCTCACCACATTATTTGTGTTAGAAATAACTCAAGGCAGTGAGCATCTTCCCAGAACAACAAGGGTTACTGTTGTGGGAAGATGTTTGCTGCCTTGAGTTATTTGTAAAAATAATAAAGATGGGATACAAATAAATAAATAAAATTAAAAATAGAGTCTTGTAAATCTGTGCCTTTTCTTTGCTTCACTTAAGTGTAAACTACGGAAGCCCTTGTCTTACATGTTTCTCAAATTACTTTCTTGCTCTTGTCTAGAGCCTCGCTTATCTGATCATTCCACTGCTGGCAGCCCTTCCTCCTGGTCTTCAAAGCCATTCCTTCTTTATTCTTTTACAGATAGAGAATAGAAGAGACTATTTTTGACTTTCTTGTCAAAATGTAAAATTAAAGCTCTTAAATGTAACAATTAGTATCCTATTCATTCCTTTTTTTTCTTTGAATACTGTGTTCCTTAAAATGTCATTTTAAGATCAGGGACTGTCATTTTACTTGGGTAATAAATGTTACACAGAGCTATTTGGGCTAATGATACAGATCAAAAATGTTCAAATGAATAACATATATTTTCCCTTACCTACTTTCAAAGCATAGAATGATGCATGTCAGGGGGGAAACACTCATTGTGTCTTCAGTTCTAACACAGTAATAATCCAAAATGAAATTAAAAATATAATCTTAAACACTATGATAAGAGGCACAAAAACGGAAACTTCTTTTCACTGGGATTAAAATCTTATAAGAAATTGAAAAAAGTATTTTGAGAAGCCAATTATAACTTTCTAGCTGAATGGAAAAATATTTGGGTTTGCTATTCGTTTCATGGAAATAATTCTGAACGCTGAAGCATAATGGCCAAGGAAAAAGTCCAGTGAATTCTCCCCACTCTTGAAATAGGAAAGAAAACGGAATGTGCAATGAGACATGATAATTAACTGTCTAAGACTAATAGTGTTCTTCTGTTTCAGACCATGACATAATAGATGTAAATGTTAATTCAGTCAGGATTAGCAATGTGTTCCAGTCTCAGACAGCAGTTTTGATGACTTGCACATGAATGTTTTGTGACATGAAACTTGCCAGAAGAGGATGATAACAATGCTCTGCTCTGATTTTTAATGTGCCCTGTTTATCCTATAATCCAAATTATTCTTGTAGTTTTGCCAAGAAACCTAGTTCCCCCCCCCATCTTGTTCATTGTTGTCTTCATTCCTTTAAGCATGTATGTTATATTTTACTTCCAATGAAAATATATAAATATTGGTTGTGCTCAATAAAATATTAAAACTAGACATGTAATCTGTGAGATGGCATCAATTGGCAGACAACTATGCCATGCAGAAGTTTGCTTATAGACTGCTTTGGGGGAGACTGATCCTCTGTGTGAATCAAGTTATTACTTAATTCAAGTTTTCTCTTCTGCCGATATGAATAGGATCTTGTTTTAAGCTTGTGCATTGATAGATGGTTACTACGATCTCCATGCACACTTATACAATAGCCATAGTTAACTTCTAGTTTTCACCATGTACATTTGTTGCTGAGAAATCCTATGAATAGAAAATTATATAGATGTGATAATGTACTTCATATTAGAAATTCTGTTTGCGCATATACACAATAGTGAGCACAGTGAGGGGCATATTCTACTAGAACTTCAGTCTTCTGATCCAACAGTACATAAAATGATTTGAGATAAGCTAAAGTTATATGGAAATGTTGTTTTGCCCTACACATCACCAGGAAATGCTCACACATTAAATGTGGAAGAATCAAATAGTTCCTGATGAGAAAGAAGATACAGATTTCTCATATTTTTTCTTTAATCTCAGGATTAATCTAACGCTCATGGGGGCGAAATCCACATCAGTCCTATTTCTGTTGTTCATTGATGTGATGTGAAATACAGTTCTTTATCTAGTTCTGTTTGGCCTTGCTCTAGTTAAAAATTGTATATCATATAGGAAGTGTTCTTGATCCTTAAACATACTAAGTTGCCCATTTTTCTTTCTCCCTATTAACTGGAATAAAAATAATCAGCATCATTTGTAATAATAGAAAATATATTATTTAAACAGAAGAAAACAGAGTGAGATTTGTGTTGTAGCAGGACTATGCTAATTCATTAATTCTGTAAAATTAATATTTCCGTTTTTCAATTTTTCAATTGTAGGTCTTTGCTTATCATAAGTAGTTGTAAACTGGTGTCAAAAATCTGTTTTTGCTTTTTTCTTTCTTAAGGGTCGCAAAAGAGATGCAGAAAAATATTTCTTGAAGGCAATTCAATTGGATCCTATGAAGGGAAACTGTTATATGCATTATGGTAAGTTTGCCAATAAGTGCTTTCCTTTAGATTCTATTTTATTGTACAAAATTCTTTATGAATGATTATGTTTTTTTTATTTTATTTTAAAGTCCTGGCAGAGTATTATTTGAATAATCCACTGGGGCCTATATGGCCAGTAGCATGGCCATCAGTTCCCAAGATGATACCAGTTGCCATCCTTCATCAGTAACCCATATAACCACATAAATGATGAGCACTGGTAAATGAGACTTTGATGTCTCAAAAAATGGATTTGTGAGCAATATTAATTGTAAATTACAAGATCCTTTCTTTATGAAGTACATGATATTTAAGTGGGTTACATTTACTAATTAATTTTTATTATGTATAGAAAATGTTTTGTAGAACTCTTATACTTTTCCAGTATGCTACAGGATAAAACCCAAACAGAAATCTTTAAGAATGGTGAATAGCTGTAGGGCCATGTAGAACATTTTGAGACATGTTTTGAGCTTTAAACATAATTTCAAGCTAAAACGTATAATTTATTGGTAGTTTCAACTTTACTCAACATACACTTTATACTATTCTGATGCTGCTGAAAGAGTCTTAATCTCAAAATGGAATCACTTTAAACTAAGAATATTTAGAGTAAGAATATAAAAGTATCACAACTCTTCAGTTAAGTTAAAATAAAATCTTCAGTTTATTTCAAGCTCGAAATAAGGTATTTTAAGTTCAAAACATTTCAGATTAAAAATGTTTTAGACATAACTATCAGGCTTCATTTATGATTGAAAGTTCTTTAAAATTAATTACCTTGGAAGAACAAATGGATGTATATGTGGAGGCTTGCCCTGGCATAACTATTATGGAAGGATGCATAGAATTAGACAATTAGAACCAGCATGTATATTACTCGGTCTGAGCATGTGTATCTTTGAAACTCTAATTATGGAATGTACATATCTGTTGGTCCTGAGCGTGTTTCTACTCTGTTGTGTTTGTGTGCATTTATATGTGTGTATGCAAGAGGGACCAGATAAACTGCATTGGACCATGCAGATGTTACATTACCCAGGTAATATCATCGGTATGAGTGAATGTGAGCTTTAGTCCCTGTCTGTATACAGTAGCTTGCCCTACCAGTTTTGTGTGTGTGTGTGTGGTTTTCTCTTTAGTAGTATCTTGATTAAGCTGTTATTTATTTACTGCTCAGTTGGTTGTCTGGTGTTAATTCTGGTGTCGATCACTGCTTATCTGAATATTTATTTATTTATTTATTATTAAAATTTATATGCCGCCCAATCCCGAAGGACTCCGGGCGGCTTACAAAAGAAGAAAAAGAGAAAGAAAAAAAATAAGAAAAAAGACAGTTTAAAAACACAAAACTGCATGCATTCATTCTAACCGGGGCTGGACCTCAACAATGAGGTCAACAGCCCCAGGCCTGCTGGAACAGCCAGATTTTTACAGCTTTCCTGAAGGCCATGAGAGTGGGTATGATCCGGATCTCTGGGGGTAGCTGATTCCAGAGAGTCGGAGCAGCCACAGAGAAGGCAGACACAGACACTGTCTGGCTGACGGCATCTGAAGGAGGCCCAATCTGTGGGATCTTACTGGCCACTGGGAGGTATGTGGCAGTAGGCGGTCCCGAAGGTACGCTAGCTATAAGCTACGTTAGCTATAAGCTACTGGAAAGGATATATTCTGGTTTTTTTATTTCCTTTTAAATTTTCTTGTTGTTGTTGTCTCTTTTGAATGGTATGTAAATGTGATTTATGTCTTGGTCTGTTGGTGATTGATTTGTCTGAATATCAAGCTTCCAGGAATTCCCTTGAGGATTTTGAGGATGCTTTCAGTTTCCCACTTGAAACTACGGTTGTATCTGTCCATGTGTTGTAAATTTGCATAGTATCTCCTGATTGTTACTTGGTGTTCATGGATATAGTCTTCTATCTGTCTGTCCTACCTAGTAGCTGTTAAAATCCTTATACTTGTATATTGTAAATTGCTTCTGTTTTTTCTTCTTGGGTTTCTGGGTCTTTTTGTTTATTTAGGATGTTTTGAAAGGCTTTAGTTGGTTTGTGTGCTACAGTAATGCTGTATGGGTGTAACAGTCTGTTTGTTATTTCTGATACTTTTTGATGTATGGCAGAGTTATCCTTTTTATAACTTTTGTTGGTTGGCTGAGAGCTCAGGCACTTTTTGCTAAAGCTGTATGTGTGTCCGTTTTATTGGAAGATATTGTATAAGTGGCCTGTATCCTTTTTCTAGGGTTCCAAGTTGCAATGTGTTTGGGCTTATCTGAGTAACATTCTTACAGAGCTCTTACAAAGAAGTTGTTACTTTGATAAAGGAGCACTAGTTTCCATGTTTCTGCTGATTTTATCTGATTCCGTAGCTTGAAAACATATAGCAGTAATGCTACTGTTCACAATTGCTTAGCATGATTCAGTATGTTCATAGAGGCTTATACAGATAGTCGTTGATTTACAGCCATTTGTTTAGTTACTGTTTAAAGTTGCAACACTACTGAGAAAAGTGGCGTGACTGGGCCTTGCACTCATGACTGTCATAGCATTCTCACAAACACGCGATCAACGTTCACCTGCTAGGCAACCCTCATATTTACAATGGTTGCAGCATCCTGGGCTTATGTGATCACCATTTATGATCTTCCCAGCTGGCTTCCTGTAAGCCTAGTCATTGGGGAACCCAGGTTCACTTAATGACTGCGTGGTTCACCTAATAAGTTCAGTTGGCAAAAAATCAAGTGCAACCCACTTAACAATTGCCTTGCGTAGCAATGGAAATTCTGTTCCCAATTGTGGTCATAAATTGAGAACTACCAGTAGATTTGATTCTTTTTAGTATACTGCAAGAGACAGGAAACAATGGCAAAAAAGTTCTGCCAAATAACACTCTTTATAATAACAACCACTGAGACTTCGAGTTAATTTCCTTTGAATAATACATTTTCCTAATAATTGCAAAGCATGTAATATTTCTGTGTTATAATAAAATTGATTATTTGCATTAAATGACTGTAATTATGCACTCACTTGATATAATTTACAACTGATCATGTAGCGTGTTGTTCTCTAGCTGAACCTGCAGAGTTTTTCTTTGTTAATGTTTTTAATTTTCTTCTTAATTCATTTTGGTTAACATAGCATGCAGTTAATAATTCACAATGCAAATTGTTCTCTTATTGTAAGTTTAACTGGATCAAATTGATCTTAGAGTGCTGAGAGTATTTTGGCATATTTTGTAATGCTTTGAAAAGAAACACTACAACCAAATTAAAATTAATCAGTAATTAATTGCTGCCCTCTAACTTGTCAACAAGCATAATGTTTTCTTCAGTTGTTCTAAAACTTACATTTAAGTTACTTGAAAATTAAAGAATTGTGCTGCATTTTTCCCTTCTGTTAATAGAAGGTTCTTTGCTTCAGCAAAGGCTTCCTTGAATAGAATTCAGAATAAGGTTGTCTTTTTTACTCCAAATTTACTTTTGCTTTTTACAGTATCCAAAACTGTTCCTTTTTGGAACATATTTGTCAATTGGAAAAGGGGAAGGAGAATCAGCAAAAAAGGGTCTTTCATAGAGTGATGTAGCCCTGTCAGTGTTAAAGTGTGAGGTGTGCTGTAATTGTTAATATCTATTTTTCAGGCCAGTTTCTGTTAGAAGACTCTCGATTGATGGAAGCAGCAGAGATGGCCAAGAAAGCAGCTGAGTTGGATAATACAGAGTTTGATGTTGTGTTCAATGCGGCTCATATGCTTAGGTCTTTTTATTTCATTGTCTTCACCATCAATATTTTACTGCATAAAATTAACAAGTTTAATATGCATACAGTTTTTCTAGAATGAAAACAGAAGATCACATGGCATTTCTCAACTTCATGCTTGTATACATTGTATACATCCTGCTTTTTAAAATTATGGCTAAATCTGATTACTTTAATGAAGACAACTCACACTGAAATCCTGTGCCAATTTTGCCATTATTTCTTTTGCCACTTTTATTGGGGCTGTACAGAGTCTAATGCTTAAATAACCCAAAAAGTGATTACTACTACATTCCATTCCTGATAAATGAATATAGCAAATGAAGAAAACAAGTTTGGGAGAGATTTGGGGTCAACCCTCAATTTTAGAACAAACAATTGCTATTCACAACTTGGGTGGTGCAATAGTTCCAGTACTGAGGTAAGTTTTATGCACAGAAGCCAGTTGGGAGATTTTGTTATTCCCTTATGTTGTATCAGCGTCAGGCTCTGCAACCAGCTCCTCATCATATCATGCATTGATTGCTTCACTGTGTTGAATTAAGTGAATTCAGGGCAAAACAAGTAGATGCCGCAACCAAGCAGAATGAATGTTAATCATCAGTAAGAACAGGCGACCATTTTTTTTTTGTATGGGTGATCATATCATCTCTGAATTACTTATTCAGCTCTATCTCTTGAGATCATTTTTTTAATGTGTGTAAGCTAGAAGGTAACCCAAAATAGATAGTTTTTGTGTCTATTCAAGAGTATCAACAAGCATTCTTTCCTCAGGCTCATTGTGTGTTTGTGTGTGTGTGCTTTTCTTTTTAAAGTGAATGCAGTGCTTTCTGCATTGACTTGTTTGCCTGCAGTTGCCATATACACATAGGCTAATCTATTCAGCTATATAGAATGTTGATGTCATCCAATTCAACGGCAAATTTACAAATAATTGATAGTGTTCCTAAAACAAGCACAACTGCTGGAACCATTTATATCACTTTGCTTCATGCTACTGGTTTAGATATATTAAAATACTGTAGTTTGCTATATCTGTAATTGGGAACTACATTTTCATGTAACTTTAATGATTAGCCTACTGGGGTTTAACTTCCAATTTTAAAAGCTAAGACATGAATTAAAATTGTTTACAAGCTAATTTTTAATGCTATATATATATAG